TTGTCACGGTCCCAGGGCCCCTCCGCGCACTTCAGTCCTTCTCCTGCCTTGGAATGCTTCGTTCTCTCTCTGGTCCCTAAAAAGCCCGCCCTTGCACCCTTTTCCAAATCGACAGTCGCACAGCGTCCCGAACGAGGAAGTGTGAGGGGATTGTACGCAGGGACGCCCCAAGAAGGCCTTGCGCAAGGCGGGGCAGGGGGAAGGGAGGGGGCTTCCAGCCTGGCCCTGGCCCGCCGCTGGCCAGTGTCTTTGGTGCTCAGACAAGCGACGCAAGGCCCCCGCAGCCCTACCGCGCAATGCTTAGATCTTGAAGGATGAGATGGAGCCTCGGCCCCTACACAGCGCGGCCCGGGGCCGGGCTTCCTTTGGGGCCTGGGCGCGTCCCGGGCCGGGTCCTGGGCGCTGGCCCCCGGGGACTGAATCTGCGGTGCGCGAGCTCCAGGGCCTCGCCTGGAACCGCCAGGGTTCCGCATCCCTGGATCTCCCTTCGCCACTGCGCCCAGCACGCTCCGCAACTGTGAGCTCGCCCTGCTGGACCCAGGCACACAGTCCGCCACGCTTCCACGTAGAGATGGGAGAGGGTGTAAACATCCACATTATTCTAAAAAATAAGTCTAACTTTAAAAAAATCTACATGATTTCCGTCTGCAACATAGAAAGGACCTGTGACCCCATGTCGGTTTACAGACGTCTGTCCTCATCAAACCCTCTAAATCAAAGCGGTTCAATTCCCGACAATTTCTAGGGCAGCCCCCTCCTCCCCATGGTGCTAAGGCCTGTGTGTGTGTGTGTGTGTGTGTAGGGGAGGCCCTCCTTGAATCTACACTCTGACAAATCTTGCCACAGGACTAGTTCAGGCCTCCACCCCACTTCTTGTTAAACATGAATGATGTCCTCCCTTCTTTTAAGTAAAAGGCTGTAATAAACGTTCCAGGCCCTTCCGCATCTTTCACCCACACCTGTCTTGGGTCTTCAGGTCTGGGGGTGAGGGAAGAGGGGTCTGTTTTCCTTTCCAATGTCAGCCTCAGTTTCCAACTCCATTCCTGAACTGGGACCACTGGTCAGCTCCTCCTGCCAGGCCACCGTGTGCAAGGGCCCTCAGGGAACTCCACGCTCAGCCCCTCCACTGGGCTCTCCGATCCCTGGCGACTCCCAGGAGGAGGCCTAACCCTGGGCCTGGGCCATGGGGCTCCTGCAGCTGTGTTCTGAAGTCCTGTGTAGACCACCGGATGGTGAGCTTGCCCTGTGTCCTGCCAGGAGTGGTCACCATGCAGCAGTGGCCAGGAAGCAGCAGAGTTTGCCCACCTGGGGTGCTTCTGTGTTTCCAAAGTGCCTCCTCCCCTGAAGGGAAGGCCGCACTGCCGAGAGAGCAGGCAGGCGCTTCCCGGAGCCTGTGTGTGTACCCGGCCTCCCAACTACCCGTTAACTCACTAAGGTTTCAGTTCTGAGTCCACTTCCAAAGCCAGCCTTGCTTTCCTGCCCTCTTTCTGGCCCGTCTACCTCCCACTTCTTAGTTCGCTGTTAAAGGGGGGAAAAATGTGGGGGCCCAGGAAACAGCAGGTCTTCCCAGCCTGGGCACTGAGTCCCAGAGGTCCACTGAGTGAGACGCTCCACTGTGGACGTCAAATCTAGCTGGAAAGCATTGCGAGCTCCCAGGAAGGAATGAGTGGCGTAAGAATACGTTAGATTTTCACCTGCACCGCCTGAGGCCTCACAATGATCCCAGGAATCCTATGCAGCCATGGCGTTGCTAGTGGGCCCATTTTACAGACAAGGAGATCGAGGTTGAGCCAGGCAGCTTGACAGAGCAGGCAGAGGCTTGAAAGGCTGTAAAAACTCCCAGTAGCGCCAAGCCTACAGACGGGCCTAGGCTGGAGTGTCCACCTTGGCTTCAGTCTTCTTTCTCAGACTCCTTTCTCTCCTCCTACCCCAGGCAGGCTCTGGATGAAAGGAGATTGGGGGGGTGGTACGCTGCTGCACAGCAGGAGAGCAGACGGCACACAGGCTGCCACCGCAGCCCCTCTTGCTCTTGCTCTGGGTGTGGGACAAGAAAACCCACCCCTCCTGGCCTCAATTTCTTCAAGTATGAAGGGTGAGGCTAGCGATCCCTGTGCTTCCTTCTTTTTCTGACGCCCCAAATCCTAGATCAGTCTTCACCCAGGGATCCCGCATGTTCCGGGCCTATGGAACACTGAGGTGGCACTTGGCACATCGGTTCCATCCGCCGGCCAGAACCGGGCAGATTCGGGAGTTCCGGCCGCTGCCCAGGACAGCCTTGGCCCTAAAACCTGCCTGATGCTTGCGCTCTGACTGCGGCCGGCGTCTCTCCCAGACCCCCATCCCAATCCCGTAACACATCCCGCAGCGCAGACCCGAGTCCCGGAGAACAGGTGAGATAAATTACAAGGCCGCTTCTGTGCCCCACCCTTGGGAGCTACCCGAGGGGCGAGCAAGTAATTTTGCATAATTGAGCTCTTTCTGTACGGGTCTTTCTCCTCCCCCAGCACTGGGCTTTGCAACTTTCGCCCCAAGACTTCTTTGGTTGGAAAAGGTGCTGCCGCTCAGAGCTGCAGGCCAGAGGCCTCTGAGCACAAAGAGTTCAGGGGTTGCCTGTCCACCCCTCCAGGCCAGCGCCTCCACTGTCTGCTCAAGCGACCACCACCTCCTCCCAGTCCCCTATCGATCAAGATCCCACAGGTTCAGGGAGATTTCCAAAACTCTAGGGCCAAACAGCTCCCTCCCAGACCTTCCCAGAGTTCCAACCTCGATGGTCACTCCGGCAGACACACAGGCTGCCCCTCAACCAGGCCACTAGTGAACAAAGCCCAGGGGTCTGATGCTCAAGGCCTACCCCCAGCCAGCGCACTCCTGCAACAGGCTCTGGGCCAAGCAATTCTAGGCCCAAACGCCTGGAGACTCGCTTTCCAGAGCTAGAACGCACAGACCCAGTTTAAATATCTGCAGAAGCAGTACACCCACCAGTTCACAATTTTTAGCAGGCTTTCCTGGAAATCCCCCAAACAACATATGGCTTACAATTAGCCCTCTTTCTCCAGACCTCCCTTTCTAATTTGTGGCTTATTTGAAATCACTGGCTGCAAATCATGTAATCTTCGGATCGTTTCTTCGTTCATTTTTATTTCCAATGGGGGCGGGCGAGGTGGGTGTCCTGTCTGGTCCACACCTGCTTTGTAGCATTTGGACAAAGAAACAGCTCATGGGAGCAAACCGCTTACCACCACTCCTTCCCGGATGGGAAAGATTTGGCCAGTATCAAACCTAATTCTCTTTTAATTTTCACTGAAACTTTCTGATGCAGGGGAATCATCTCTGCTTCTCCAGTGGAGGTGTCACCCTTGGGCAAACAAACAGTGACCACTGGACGACAGCTTCCAGAGAAAGGGGTTGGGGGAAGGGGCACCTTGCTTGATCAGGGTAAAAAAGGGAAAGAACTAGGAAAGGGAAAGAACATGTGCTGGGCTCTGGAGGGCAGCCCACCGGCTCCTGCTACCAGAAGGAAAGCGCCCAGAAGTTGTACGGCCCAGCTGAGAGGCACAGGAGAAGCCAGGCCACAGCTTCCGGCACCCTCGGCTCACCAGTCAGCCACGCTGCAGAGCTGGAGGTCGCGCTGGTGGACAGGCCACCCCTGCTCCACCAGGGAGGTGGTGTAAAGTGCAGCTCCAGACCCAGAGAGGATTGCAAATAACAGGCTTAGCACTGCCAACTGCAAAATGTTGAGCTTACTGACTTTGTGTCGATCACCTGGGCCAGGGAATTCCCTTATGGAGTCCCCCCCTCCTCCGGGGAGAAGGACACCTGTAGCTGCACTGCAAAGACCCTCCAGTACCCTGCAGCTGAGATTGTCCCCCTGCTCCTGAGCCAGCTTCTGAGGCTCCAGAGGCCAACGCAGAAGCCTTCATGGATCCTTGGCCAGGACGTCTTGGGGCACCCATCAGGCCAAGTGTCACAATCTCTGGTGCCAGGAGGCAGCGACCCTGGCAGGGGACAGATATGCTGCAAGGAGATTGGTTCACAATCATCGGGACACCCAAAGCAAATGCTGTGGTGACCAGGCCTCCCCCAGCCCTGCTGCTCAGAGGCGCCCAGCCTGGCAGCCACTGTCACCCACGGGCCGAGTGCTGGCAGGGCATGCCGGACCAAGCACCCCACCATTTCTTACCACTGCGAGTCAGCTGGACCCGTGGGTCCCGGAGACTCGTGCCCACCATGGCACCTGCCCCTCTGGGTTTATAATTCAAATCCAGAAAAAAAAAAAATACTGTATTTAGGCCTGACTTCCATGTTCAAACTAATTACCTCCTTCTTTCTCCTGCCCAGTCTGGGCTCACCAATTCACCCGCTCTCTCTCTTGACCTCCCAAGTCCCAGCCCCAAGGGAGGCAAGCTGAGAAGAGGCGGCCTGAGAGGCCCCAGCGCGAGGCCAGGCCCCCCACAAGTGCTCTACTCCAAGCTGGGCCTGCACGGCCTGGCCTGTGTACTCCACCCTCTCCCAGCTAGGAGCAGCAAGCGTTCTTCACCCCACACAGGGGTGCACATGCTTCCGCTCCACAGAAACACAAATAGAAATGAAGGAAGAAAAAGTAAAAGAGGGAGTTCAAAAGTGAAAACAGAATAGGCAGGAAGGCAGACCGGCCAGAATAGCTCTCTCATAGCACAATTCTTGGTTCGTCCCAGCCCAGTCCTGGGCCAGGAGATGGTCTGGTCTCTGGGGCTCCAGGGCCCTGGCCCCTTTCTCGAGCAGGAGCGGGCTCCCCAAGACGACCTGGCACTGCCGGGCAGGCTGAGGCGGCCCCTCGGGGCCAGCTCCAGCTCCCTTCTTGGGCCAAGGCCTCCGGGCTGCCCAGTGCTCCCTGCCGCCCACTGCGGCCTCACCTTCAGGAAAGACAGCGCGCATTTTCAGGTAGCTCGTGGTGAGTCGAATGATGGATGCCTTGTCCAGCTGCGAGGTGATGGCCGATGGCAGCGGGAGCAGCTTGGCCAGCTCATAAAACTCGCCATTTTCCTTCTCCCTCCTGGTCTTGGCCGCATTCTTGGACTTCTCCTTCATCGCGCCTCGGCTCCGGGCATATTAGACCCAGACGTGCTCCAGGCCCGCCGAGCCCCGCTCCGGCCGCAGCGGTGGCGTTCGGGGAAGGGGGTACCGGGAGCCGGGCAGGTGCGCGGGGCCGGCCTGAGGCACCGGGACGCCTCTCCGCAGCCTCCGCCCCGGAGCTCCCTGCGACCCAGCGACGCCGCCCCGGGCGCAGCCTCCTCCCGGCTGGACTGTCCCGCGGCGCCCAGAGCCCCGGCTTCCCACTCGCTTCTTCTCGCTCTTCCTTCCTGCCTGCTTTCCCCCCACGCCTCGGCTCTCCGTGGGGGATGGAGAGGGGGCGGCGAGGAGGCGGCTGTGCTGTTTAGTCCTTGACCGAGTTTCCGTACCGGCTGCCCCGAGGCCCCTCCGAGCTGGAGGGCGGCATGGGCGGCGGCGGCCGCGGAGCCATGGAGCGGGAGCGGCGGGGAGCGGAGCCGGGGCGGACACGGCTGGGGCAGCCGGGCCTGGGCGCGCTCTCCTGCCCCGGCTGGCGTTTCCCTGCGCCTGGAGACGCGGCGCCCGGAGCCCGAGATCTGTCGGGAGGTGCAGCAGCTCCGCGGTCCACGTGCGACCGAGACGCGTTTGTTTATGGCGGACCCGCCTTCGGGCGGAGCGCTGGGCCGGCGGGGGCGGGGGCGGCGAACCTCGCCTGCGGACCTCGCCGCGGCCCGGGAGTTCCAGGCGCGCCTCCGCGTCTCTGCCTCCAGGGACTCCCCCAGGAGAGACCCGCGCGAGCCCGGGCGCGAGGAAGTCGCGGTGAGTGCACGCGGCGCGCCGCGGGGACCGGCCCCTGCGAGCAGGTCTCGTGACCTGGGTGCTCTCGAAGGGCGGCGGGGAGGAGAGAAGGAGGGAACGAGGGAGAGGGGGGTCCCGAGACCTCCTCCTCCAGTGGCTCCAGGGCTGGGGAGGTGGCGCGACCCGCTGTCCGAGTGCCCTGCGGGACATGACAGAGCCCTCCGAGCCCGCGCAGGTCCGGCGCCCTCACACATCACACCTCGCAGGTCCGAGAGCCTGACGCAGGGAAGCCAGGAGAGAACAGCCCCCAACACCCCCATCCCCCACCTCAGGAAAGGGTGCGGGGAGGCTCGGAAGTGACCCTTCTCTCCTGGAAACCTGGGAACGAAAGGGGATTAGCGCCTTACCTGGAGAGGCCGGAGGCCGCGGGGACGCGCGGGCCGTATGGAGAAGGGGGCCGGCGAGCCGAGCCTGGCGGCTAGGCCTCCACCAGGGCGGCGGCGGAAACATGGCCCACAGCCTGGGCTCCCACAGCCGGACCCAGCGCAGCCGGAACTTGGGGGAATTGGGGCTGGGGAGGGCGCTTCAGGTCCAGGGTCGCCGAGCGAGGATCATTGGGAGCACTGGTGGGGGACAAGGTGATGAGATAGGAGGCAGTTGGAATAGGGAGGCGCTGTTGGAGACGCGGCCATAGGGTGTCCCGGCGCTCTCCCTTAGGGCCACACTGAACCGCAAGAGCCCTCCTGTACCACCCCCCGCTCCTCCGCGCGCCTGCAACCCGGGGGTGGGGTCCCCAGACATCCCGGCTGCCGCGGTCGCACAACCTCCCACTCCTTCTAGGAGTCTGAACCCTCCAGAAGCCGTGCAGACGCGGGCGCGGGGAGGACCGCAGCTTCCCTGGCGCGCGAGGTCAGAAGGCAGCCGTAGTGGACGCAGGGCACCGGGTCCTGGGGGTCCCTCGGCAGTGTGCCGAAGGCTGTAGGGCTGTGGGACTGTGGGGCGCCTGATCTGGATACCCCGAGGCGAGACGCCGTGGCCACCCGGCTCCAGCGCTAAGCTCTCAGTTCCTGGGGCCACCTCACTCTCTCCCGGCAGGGGAGGAGACTGCTGCCCCGAGCACGCACTGCGGGGCAATGACCCGGTACCCCTCTCCTTCCCCGGCTCCTGGAGGGCCGGGCCTACTTTTCCGGAGCAGGCTCTCCAGGTCTTTTCCAAGGATCCCTCCGAAGGTCAGAAGTTCGACCGCGGTTGGAGGCGTCGTAGCTCCCTCGGTGGGCGGGACGGTACACAGACCCCGACTGGGCCCCCACCCTGCCGAACCTAAAGCCCTGGCCTTGGCTTGCAGGGATGGAGCTCTGAAACCACAAAGCCGCGCGAGCTTGGAAGTTGGGGGCTTCCCACCAAACACGGCACTGTCCCTTGGGGTTTCGCTTCCAGGAGCACTTTTCCGTTTCCAGCAGGGCGCTGGAGGCGCGGCTACGCGGTGCCCAAACGCAGCGCCCCGGGCCCGCCCTCCGGCTCTGAATCCCGCGCGGGGCTGCGTGGACAGTTGTCGGCTCGGAGCTTCCTGGAGAAGGGGCTCCGAGGGAGAAGGAACTGCCGGCTGGGCCGCGCCGCAGCTCGCGCGGGCCGCCCCCGAGTGAGCTCTTGCGCCTCCCCAGCTTTGGGAGGATTTAACGCTCCCTCACTCCCCAGATTTCTGATCCTCAATTATGGACTCGGGAGAATTCCTCCCGGGCTTGAAAGGGATTACCCAGATCGTAGAAACATGGCTAAGTGGAAGTGGGAGAAACTCGACAAGTAACAGGAACAGAAACTTTTCTCAAACCAAATTTCCAAGATTTTACGGAGAGCGTACTTGAGATCTAGCTACCGGCTTTTCACAGTGACAGCCGCTGTTTCCGCCTCGGCAAAACAGGTTCGAATCGCGTGGTTTCAAAGATAGCATAGCGGCGTGTTTGGAGACTCGCAGATGTGTGGTGTAGGGCACTTTCAGGCCCAAAGCCTGCCCCAGCAGACGCCCAAGCGGGCATTGTATACCCACGACACATTCATTCAACGCGCGCGCGCGCGCGCGCGAACACACACACACACACACACACACACACACACACGGAGATAACTTGGTCTGTCCGACTGCACCACCAAAAGTACCCAAAGTTTCTGGGCGCAGCCCTCGAAGTTTCCCAGGTGGGAAGGATAGTGATGGCTGTGTGGAATAGTGAAGCGAGAAACCGCCCCTCCCCCCACTCCCCCCGCCCCGCGCCTGGTTAGGGCCATAGCGAGGCTCTCTTTATCTCGGAGCAGAACACTTAGGACAGACATCTACAGCTAGAAGCTTTGTATAAACTGGGAAAAGCACTAAACACGTGGTATTTGGAGTGATCAGGCGGATCCGCGGTTGCCTAGAATTTGGCACCTGCTGCGTGTCCCTCGCTCCTGGGCTTTTGGTGCCGGGAGTACCTCCCTGGCTGGTCTATGCTTTGGACCTAAAGCCGAGCGCCTCACCCAGAGCATCGAGAATGGCCTTTCGAGACCCAGGGGAGAGGTTTAAACTCAACGAATGACCTCCCACCCCGGGGCATCACCCAGGACCAGCGGTTCCCCTACTGGCCTGGAAGGAGCCTGCAGAACCTGGAATGATGGCAAGTTGGGGGCAGGAAGAAGACCGATGGGAAGAGGGGTCTGACACATTGAGGCGGCGAGCTTCGAGCATGCGGCCTATTTGCACGGCACCATCACCCCCAGCATGTCCTGCTTTGCGCTCTTGCGAGCACCCAGAGGCGCAGGAGCACGCCTCCGCATATCCACCGTCTCTTAGAAAGTTTTCATTAGGAAACTGATCTGGAAGAAATTGAGGCCCCAAGAGGAAAGGGGCGGGCCCAAGCCGCCCCACATCTGCTCGGATTTTCCGCTTCAGATGCTCCGCAACTGTTTTTCCCCAGGCCGCGGGGCAGCGCCTACCTGAGGCCCATCCCCCGCGGAAACCGGCTTTCGCGCGAGATCAAGGGGAAAGGCGCAGATATTCCACCAGGGATGGGCTCCTGGAGAGGCTGCTTCTGCTGTGGCAGAAGGGGATAAGAGACTGTGTCACTAAAGTGGCGGGGGCTGGGAGGAGGACTCCTTCCATTCCTAGCACGAAATTTGGGGGAGGGGGTTTCGAACCTCTGAAGTGGAGATTAAGGAGAACTTCAACCGCTGGAGGAAGCCGGGGCAACAGAAAATCCAGGACTGCTGAGATTTGAACCCATTCGATTTACACGCCCTGATCTACACAGGCAATTAGCATGATATGGTTTTTCCAGAAATCTCGCTTGCGCCCAGTAGTACCACGTCTATGACTATTTCACGGCTGGGAGCCTTTATAAATAAGTCTGGCCTATCCCGAAGAGTGCCTCGATTTCTCACTTCTTTCCTTGTGTAAGCCCCCATGGAGATAGCACCAGCTTTTCCTGGGTCACGGCTACTCCCAGAAAGGATGAGACAAATACAGTATTACTACTCATTGTTAAAAGTAATTATAGATACCCAGAGCGATTTCCTCGTGATTCATTCCTTGAGAGGTCAAGACAGGAGCTTGAGTGGCTCGGCTCACCAAGTCGTAGAGGGAGAGAAGTTATCTTTTTGTTTTGTTTTTAATAAATAATCTCACTGGAAGTCACTACATTGGAGAAAGTGTTTGCTTTGAGCTTGGTCGGCGGGCGTCTCTCTGATCTGATTACGTGGCAGTAATTAGGGCAGATCCACCTTCGAGCACTAATTAGTTCCCGGGACCCCCTTGCACCAGAGCGTTCGGCATTGGGAAGGGGTGCCCTGGTTCAGCTAGGGAGTGGGGCGGGCAAGGGAAGGAGGCACCTCTGCTCCAGGCTGATTCTGCTCTCTGGGATTGCGAGAAGAGCAGGGTCCTTCTGCTCGGACTTGGTTGTCCAGCACACTTCGGGGTGTGGGATTGGGGGCGCGAGGGTGCTGGTCGCGGCGGTGCCTGCTGTCCAAGGAATGGGATGACTGCTGCCTACTTCTCTCCTCCCTCAAGGCGACGCAAAAACAGTTAGTGCCACTGGTAATTAATTATAGTGATTAGGAAAGGTCCCTGAGCGAGTGCCAGGGAGCCACCGAAGCCGCTCCTGGTTTGTGTAAACGGCGGCGGTAAGTTTCTTCTCATTTTACCTGGGGATGAGACAGTAGCCCTTTCCTCTGCGTTTTCCTTGCCTGCCTCCCGGGCCTGGCCTCGCTTTCTCCCCCATCTCTGAGATGGTGCCGGGATGTCAGCGCACTCCTCCCAAATGCACAGACATCCAGGGTGCTCCGGGGAGGCCAGGGATCCTGCTGAAGCAGCACCCCGCGCTCAGGATCAGAGTTGAGGGACCGGCCTTGGATCCGAGACCGGGGTAGAGGAGACCGAGCATCCTGCGCCCACCCCCTCCCACTCTTCCAACGACGCGGCGCCTGGAACCCCCTCTGTGCTCTCCTCTCCTAAAGGAATCACGGCTCTGCTTACGGAATCCTTGGCCTCAAAATCCCGGCTCAGGGAGAGGCCGCCCATTCGCTCCGCGGCAAAGCCCCGCTTTTAGCCTCCAGTGAGCCGGGGATAGCGTCTGGAAACCCTTGAAGCCGGAGGAGTCTTAACAGTCTGATGTGCGCTGAAATTCCTTAGTGGTTTTATCTCTTACGCACCGCCTTTTGTAATCTGAAAACCAACTAGTTCATTAAGGACGGCGCTGAAACAGCCTTTCAAAAACATCAACCAAAAATTTTCCTTTACAAAATAAAACCTACAAGAGACAAATATTTCTGCCAATCAAAGAAAGCACAAACACGATGGACTTAAGTTGTGTTTTTTTGGTAATAGGTAATAATAATAACAACAGGCAACCCTTAATATAAGGCTGACTATAATATGGGGCTATTATAGTACTTTAAAGACACAAACTCGTTTT